TCTGGTCACGGCTGGGACAGGGTCCACCGCGGCCTTCGCCTCGAGGATCTGCTGCGTGTTCGCGATCCATGCGGCGACCTGCCTGACTCGCGCCAATAATCGGCCATGCTGCTCGATGTTGCCAAGGTCCAGCGCATGCTTCGCCAGACCCCTCTTGGCTGCAATGTCCGCCAACTCATAGCCACTCTTGCCATGGTGTATCATGCTCTGTTCGACCGTCTGGTGAGCCTTGACGCATGTGAAAAGTGGGTGCCTCCGAGGGGCCTCCGTGGTCCATGCTCGCGTGCCAGGAACCTCGCCCAAAGATCCCGATGCTGTCGGCAGGGGTGTAAGCATCAATCTCGACCATTGCGAACGCCATCCAGAAGCACCACGCAGTCCGTGTGGATGTGCAATGGGAGAAGGCTGTTCTGAACAGTCATCAGTACGGCGAATCATTCCACTCTCGGCACTGATTGCTGCGCCCCTGGTCGTGGTCCGAACGCGATCCCCTTGCAGTGGCGTCCGTCCACCAGCGCGGTGCCCCACCCAGCTCGGCAACCTTCACGCCATCCTAGCAGGCTGGGTCCATGCCCATCCGTGTAGACCTCACGATATCTTGAGAGTCTGAGCACCGTGCGCGTAGTACCAAATCTCCCGCATGCATGGTAGCGATGCCATCGGCAGAGCATCTCGATGGAGGAGGCCCCTGTTGTAGATGGGCCCTCATGGGCCCATCCCACCCCACGAGGGGTCGGCGGAGGTGTGTCACCGTCCCCCACTGGGCGTTGATCGAAGGGCCCCCACGGCATCCTTCAATCAGCACCTGGCGAGGACCGTAGGCCTACCTCCACCCCGAGACCTCTCGTATGGGGGAAGCTGTACTTAGACAGGGTCTCGAACGCACGGAGGGAGAAAAGAAGGAAGCGCGAAACGCGACGAGGAGGAGGAGGAGCACGAGCACGAGCAGGAACAGGAGCAGAAGCAGGAGGATGATGAGGAGGAAGAAGAGGAGGAGGAGGAGGAGAAGGAGGCGGAGGAGGGGGAGAAGGAGGAGCAGGAGGCGGATGCGGAGGCGGAGGCGGAGGAGGAGGAGGAGGAGGAGGAGGAGGAGGAGGAGGAGGAAGAGGAGGGGGAGGCGGAGGAGGAGGAGGAGGAGGAGCGAACGTAACCTTGAGGGCAGGTTCGTTCGGGCTTAGCCACGCCGCGGCGCGCCCGCACCTCCACTCAGATCAGCAGGAAGCTGGAGGGCGCGGCGAGCGGCAGCAAAGGCCGTGTTCTGCTTTGTGTACGACATCGGCAAGGTGTAGTCCTTCGTGAGGTGGTACGCCCGCGTCGCAACGGCGAGGCGCGTGGCGGAATTCGGAATGCCGTTCTCGCCGTCGAACGGGTCCGACAGCTCGGGGAGCGCCATGCGCGTGGGGAGGTTGGCGCTCAGCTGGCCGCGGGGCAGGCTCAGCTGGTGCCACATCCGCTCGCACACGAGGTAGTGCTGTATGCTGTCCTGGGCGTGCTGGTGGGTGCACCCAAAGTGGCAGGGGCGCTTGTCCTGGATGACGTGCATGCGGAAGCTGGTGGTCCAGGCGCCAGCGAGGGCCTTCATGGTGGCCCACATCCGTGCAGGCGGTTGCGTTGCCAAGTATGTGCGCAGTCGTTTCCAGCGTGCTGGCAGGTCAGCGAGAACCCGCTGGAAACGTAGAAGATCAGGAGGCCCGTCTCCGTCAGCAGGAGGGTCTTCGTCCCCCCCGGAGATGTCGACGTCGCTGACGTCGGAGTCGGGCACGTGGTACGGGAGAAAGTTGGCGACCCAGCGGCGGCGGGCACGATGTTGGGCTGCTTCATGCTGGTGTAGCGAGATCAGGCTGCTCGGTTCTTCAGAGCGGGTCTACGATCTTGAGAGTCGATGTTCGAGGAGGATTCTGCCAGTACCGCTGTTGTCCCACGCTTGCTGGCACATGTCGGTGGCGATCTGTCGACGGCGAATGGAGGTGGCGTACAGCGGGCGAAAAGTCTCGGTGCCGAGGAGCTCGTACAGGTACTCCGTGCACCACTGCATCCAGTCCGAGTAGTTGTCGATCGTGCGGTCATTGAGCAGGATGTCGGGTAGCCAGTGGGCGGCCCAAGCACGATCACGTGCTGCTAGACGTTCTTGTGCGATTTCGGCGTTTCGGCGAGGTCCGCTGGGGGGCTCCCTGGTGAGCGTCTTCGCAGGGTCAAGGGACGGGAGCCAGGACAGGGGACGCCGCTTAATGGTGTCCGCCGTCGTATCGGTGTAGAGCTGCTCGTTGAGGGATGTCATGTAGGCTTTCTGCGGTGTGATCTGTGTTGCTTGGCGGCGGCGCAGTTCATGTGGTTGCTGTAGGAGAGCCCGAATTCCAGCACGTGCAGCACGCTTGTGGATGCCAATCATGGCGGCTCGAGCACGAGGAAGAGGGCCAGCCGTGCGAGTCAGCTTCTTTAGGTGGGAGCCCTTGCAGTCGGCGAAGAAAGTGGAGTTGGTGATGTGCTCGAAGCGTTGGAC